AAAAAAAAAAAAAAAAAAAAAAAAATTGTTAGTCACTGTGATGTGCAAAACTTTGAATAACTTAAGGGGAAAATAGATTGAAGATTTTGATGGATAGCTTTTTTAGCAATTCATATTAACTTTGGGGACATCGATAAAATCTGAATGATACCACCACCTGCTCAACTTGCTGCCATTTGAAAATTTAAGTTAACTGGAAAATCATGATTGAAAGGAAATTCAAAGGAAAATATAAGAGAGAAATAGAAGAAAACCATACTTAAAAATGAATAGGTTGGAGATGTAAGCGTAGCTAAGGAAGCATGAGGATCAGTCCAAGCAACTTTTTTTTTTCTCTTTCGATTGTTAGGATCAGTCCACGCAATTTAGGAGACTACTTCTATGAGTGCTGCGAAAAGAAGGAAAAAAGAACGCGCGCGCGCGCAAACAGTAACAATAACAATTCCTTCTTTAATTGGTACATTAGGATGTTCTAAATCATAGAACAGCCTGACCTTTCCTGGAGAACTCTTCCCAACACTAAAATGGTAAAAGAGAAGATACAACAAGTGAATGCATTTTCAATAGGTTGTTTGGTTCTATTCCCTCTCTATTATTCCATTCGATGGTTTTGAAAAGCAGCTGGAGAGTTGGCAAAATCTATCCATGCTACTGAACACTATGGTTGAAGCGCCTGGCAACCGTTGTAACAAATTGTGGATATATCCCCGTGTCTGAAGCAGTTAACATGCAGTGATCTCATCCAAAAACAAGATGCAAGGTTAACACATTACCCCCAAGATTTCCAAGCCTTCCGCATCTTGTTTGCAACATATCTGACTCCATGAACAGCACCAGCAGTCAATAAACCTGCAACTGCCTGCCTCGTACTAGAAACCATAACCTTACGTCTAACAAGCCTCTTCATGCACTCAGCAGCCTGTTCTTTTGAACCAATCACTACTTGTTGCCTAACTCTACCTACAAGACAATATGGCATAAATGAAATGATCTACTTTAGCTGAGGAGGGAACATTATAAAAGCTTATAATAAGAACTAAAATAATTACATAGAAGTATCTTTTTTCAGAAGTTCAAACTTTTAGATTAGACAAACACACGATTCAACATGCTATTAGGATAGACAGAGATATCTAGAGTCTCACCATCACCCATTAACAAAAAATATTTTTGCGTACTTGACCCAAGAAAAAGATCGATGCGTGAGAGTTACAAATGGAAAGTAACTAAACAAAAGTTTCCTTCACTAATGTGGCAGTAGATGCAATTCAACAGGAACTACTAACGAGAAATAAATCTGAAAGAACAGGCAATATTTTAAGATTATTTCCTTTCCAGAAATCCACTCTTTTTGCATTTGAAGTACGTACCAGAGTCATCGAGAATCCTCTTTTCTCCAAGTTTCATGCCCATCTCACTTCTGATTGATGGAGGAAGAGAAGAAACTAAGGTGGAAGCAGCACATAATCCACAATCCTGATTTCGATACATTAAAACATGTCAATCTTTGAGATCGATTTGATCTTGATTTTCCAATTCAAATATTCTCGACAGAGGTGTAACCAAAATCAGTCTCCTCAGATCCATCTGAAAGAAAAACGCGCTAATGTAGTAAAAGAATCTCATACAGATGTATTCTAAAAGCAATATGAAAAAGTCAAGAAAACACTCAAGGATCGAGAATGACTCAACAACCAGAAAAGTGCACAAGTTACAATCATGTAAAAGTACAAACTAATTTTCATGCAAGGAAACTAGTGACGTCCAAAGCTCTAATTGACAAGTCATGCAAGCAAATGACTTTGCAGCTATTTGAAAAACGAGTAGAATAGAAAGACTAACATCTTTGACCACAGAAGTTACCATTCAAGGCCAGAAAATTAGTATTAAAATGGAAAATAATGGGCAACAATATAGGGATCCTGTCAGCATGACTCATGCTGTATATTCTTGATTATCCATTGACACAATACTGATTTTTTATGCTTCAGTAGAAACGTGTTTTATCGCAGATATTGATAAGTGCACATATTAAGACACACATAGATTACAAAAGATTTATCAGCATCATTCAGCAGAATTAACCATGACAAGGAAGCAACAAGAGAAAAAGCTTTAGAAGGAGAGAGACCTGAAATATGTGTACTTGCTTATCACCAGCTGATGAAAATCGCAACAAGTTCTTAGCCGCATATTCTTCCAGAGATGACTTATACATTTTCTCAAATAAATGATATTGTCCTTGTATAATTTTGTTGACCTGGATCAATATGCAGCGAAGAAATTCATGTCCAAAGAATGGAAGAATCAGTTCAATCACTTACAGTGGCATGAAAATAGCATATGCACTATGTTATACTATGCTAAAAGTTGGGATTGGAATTCTAGTCCAAACCGGGTACCCTGTAGATAAGATACCATACACATTTTCAATATAAATTAATTGATTTTGTTGATCTGCTGGAAGTAATATCAACTATAAAATTGAGAAACTACCCATTTACATCTAGAACTTACACGTAAAGTGATGCTTTCATGTGGTACAGTTAGGGCCACAAAAATCTAAAACTTAGGCTCCACTCAAGTCTCAACTCTACCTTATTTTTGTCCTCTGCAAAAAGCATACGCAAGTCACCCATATATGAGAGGCTACAGATTTTGGCATATAAATCTTCCTGCATAAACACCAAATTCCAAGTGGCATTTGTTATGTGCCTGTACTAATTGACAAGAAATGAATAAAGAGACGAACCTCTGTAAATTTTGATGGCAAAAGGAGAAGAGCGGCAGAAGTTGCAGCTTTTAGGTTCACAGTGTTCACATTTTCTACATCCAAGTTATCCACAAGAATGTTCACCTGAGTTAGAAGTAAACATAAATTATGACTGAAAGACAATCACTAGGCTCACCACTAAAAGCAAAGAATGTTATGGTTGAGTATGAAACTAAGGTAGGTTGAAGGATATCTGTTGAATGCATCACAGAATATAATTCAAAGAAATCAGACAAGCCTTCCTATATTTTCAATCCACAGTAGAATTAAGACTCTCTATTCAGGACGCACATTAGTTAAGCCATGACTGCCCAACTAGAATGCATAAAAATGCCTGATAAAAGTTAAACAATAGGTACTAAGCCCCAAGCCACTATGATTAAGGAGGAAACAAAAACCAGACAGGGTAGGGGATGTAGGTTCTGCAATGAGTTGCAAACTACGATGCTATATAGAGCTTTGGCGGTCAAATGTCAAGTTTGTTCAAGTCTAAAATTTTTGAGCGAAGAAAACAAAGCATCTCAATCGAATATTTTCAACAGAAATTCTTCTTTTTGACACTCATAAGAAATGTCCGAGTGAATAGCTCATGTTGGGTGGATCTCTGAGAGTATAACAAGTTAACCACACTCACTGAACTTTTCACTTCTGACTAAATGGGTTTTTCATCTTCAGGTCAACACAAGAGAGACAGAGACAGAGACTAAACGCTAACAGTGGTGTGCCATCAAAAGCTAACAGTGGTGTGTCATAACATAAGTTATGACTAAAAGACAGTCATTAGGCTCACCACTAGAAGCAAAGAATGTTATGGTTGAGTATGAAACAAGGTAGGTTGAAGGATATCTGTTGAATGCATCACAGAATATAATACAAAGAAATCAGACAAAGCCTTCCTATATTTTCAATCCACAGTAGACTTAAGACTCTATTCAGGACGCACAGTAGTTAAGCCATGACTGCCCAACTAGAATGCATAGAAATGCCTGATAAAAGTTAAAGAATAGGTACTAAGCCCCAAGCCATTATGATTAAGGAGGAAACAAAAACCAGGCAGGGTAGGGGGTGTAGGTTCTGCAATGAGTTGCAAACTATGATGCTATATAGAGCCTTGGCGGTCAGATGACAAGTTTGTTCAAGTCTAAAATCTTTGAGCAGACATACACAGAAGAAAACAAAGCATCTCAATCGAATATTTTCAACAGAAATTCTTCTTTTTGACACTCATCAGAAATGTCTGAGTGAATAGCTCATGTTGGGTGTATCTCTGAGAGTATAACACGTTAACCACACTCACTGAACTTTTCACTTCTGACTGAATGGGTTTTTTAATCTTCAGGTCAACACAAGAGAGACAGAGACAGAGATTAAAAGCTAACAGTGGTGTGCCATCAAAAATCAAAAGCACATGCCAATTTGTTTTGTATGAAAATGCATGCTGAGATATTTAAGTTTCAAGTACAGAACCGGTCATATCATGATATACTTTTCAGTGTTATCAAATGCCTGCTTAAAGCACACTTAAGCCCTGAAGCGAGGCTCAAAACATGTTGAGTGCTTCGCTCACTTAGTGGGAGCTTCACTATTTTTATCAAGGCTCTAAGACATACTTTTACTTGCCAATGAGCGTCATCTTGAAGAGACGACACTAAACAATTGATATATTTCACTTTTATCGTAAACTTTCTTCAATTTCCTTCTCCATATATTTGGTATTCATGCTTATAGATATTAGTCTTGGACGATACATAAATATTTGTAGTTTTTCTCCATTTACGCCTTTCTTATTAAAGCCCACGCTTAATTTGCGATTTGCGCTTAAAGCCCCAATAGACCTTAGAGCTTTTTTGCGCTTTTCGCCTTTGATAACACCGATACTTTTAGCACATACCTGGGTGTCCACTAATTTAGCATCGATTCTAAATAGGATTATAATTTTTTTTGGATGAAGTTCCACATAGGGTTATAACACAAATACATTATGATAATTTTTTATTCTTTTGGTCTGTAGGCAACTTGAAGTTGAGATCGTAAGGCTAAGAGAACCCACAAGAACTCATGGATATTACCTTGATCAACTTAAGTTTATTTAACGGCCACAAATAGGAATAAAAACATATTACCAAGTTTTCTAACTTTTGTTATACTAAGAATAAGCTGACATTTCCTAAACGATGATTCCTTGCTACTTTAAGTTACAAGTATTTATAGCGGGTCAGGGGAGTTACAATCATCGATAAAGACCTAACCTAATACCATCATTTTTATCAAATTCAGTTACAACAATAAATAAGATTCACTTGACTTGCCAGTACTACAATAATGATTAAGAGGCACAAGAGGATTACAAAAATTCTGACCAACTTAAGTTAATTCATCCCGTTCTTACATCAATGTAACTAATACTGAAATTGAAGTCCATCAAATATGTTATTTAAATAGCAATTTAGAACAAGCCATACGGGTTTCTGCAGACGACCGCTGAGATAGAACCTCTCCCATCCCAATATGTCTTGAATCAAGTCATGCATTCGAACAACTCCATACTTGAACATCTGTAAAAATTACTCAATGTGGAATTTCGAATCTGTTAACAAAAAGTGCATCTTCATTAAATGGTCAATACCTTGTTGTTGCAAGACACAAATGGGTTGAAGTGTACGCCAACACCAATGTCATTTGCAATATCAGTTATCTGGTTGAGTGCATCGTGAATTGTTCTTTAGTACAAAAAATATGTATATGAAGTTGTGAAAGAATGAGAGAAATTAAAGTAAATTCAAGAAAGAATATAGCACCATTCTTGCTCCACCAAGGTGAACGAGCCATGAAGCGTAGTGATCCTTGTTTAATTTTAGATTCTGCATAGTAGAAAGACGTTAGATTTTGACAACAAAGATGGTCGAGAATTGCTTAAAATTGAGCAATTTACCTTAGAATGCCATTGCTTAGGATCAGCTACTCCAATAATGTAATCTATCATAGATGTCTAGCAATTAAGTTGTTAGTAATGTACTATTGCAGCATGTTACAGAACTTCTTGATCAAACAAAACCATAAGTGGAGTGACTAAAGATGCATTCATTATCAGGCTAACACTTTAAAGAAGAAAATCATATCTTTGATATCAGAGAAAGAAGAAGTAAAAAAAAACCTCATCTTTATTGTTGGGATGGAGTTTGGAACCATATATACAGCAGAACTCAACAGGGGGTAGAATTTCAATCAAACTCCCTAACTCAGCTTTATCATCAGCCACCATTTCTGCATTAACATTTCAAAACAAAAACCATGTAATAAGCTACATGCAGATGTATGTGTAATAGGAGCAAAATCTTGAAATATTTTCAGTGGAATTTCATCAAACATCTGGGAGGCATGCATGACTGAATAAAGTACTTAACAGATTTTTGTCTTTTATTATTTTCTACTTACTGATCACTACAAAGGTACAAATTCGAATCCCTTAACAAGCTTTGCTATCAATTTGGTAAATCTTTAATTCTTTTTTCAAAAAATTTCGTGGGTTTTTTCAAGGGTTTAAGGAGGTGGGTTTTTTGGGTCTGCCACTGAAGAAGAAGCAACAGCTCCAAGTCAAACATGAGTCAAAGCCCATATCTGATAATTTTGGTTGGGCTTAGCCGAGGCACTCCTAATTCTATACTTGTCTTGGACTATAGCCCACCAAGTTTCTCTCTTCTCTTTACTTTCCTGATATTAACTCTGATCTTATAAACCGTTGAAATAAGATAAACTGGCTTTTTTGCTGTGAAAAATGACATTAGCGACTCTCAAATTAATAGGCGAAAAAATATATATTTTTTGTATAAGTATATATATATTTTATATGTTATATATAAAAATTATATAAATTTCGAAAAAGGTCCTGAAATACACCTCTACTATTAGAAATTGTTTAAAATTACCCTCTGTTATACTATTAGCTCAAAAAAGCTCCTACCGTCTTACTATTGAAACACATATACCCCTAACTTGACGGACTAGACACGTGGCATTCATCCAAGAAGGATGTTGGTCTATCCGGTCTAAAATTAATCGCGACCCGCCCGATTACCCGGTGTATGACCCATAAAGTTTTACCCTCTCCCCCTTTCCATCTAACGCCACCATCTTTTTTTAATAGCAAAGAATTTCGTCAATAAACAATCACAAACTCACAATAGAGATTCCAACATATGACAATCATGGTCAACACACTCCAAGCTTCATTAACAATAGAGGTTTTCCCTTTTAAATGTAAACTCTCTCCGAATAGTACTTCTCCTTAAAAAGTAATTGATGGAGAAATAGAAAGAAATGGGGGAGAAGGTGCGGTAGTGAAGAAAATTTAGAAAGTGGGTTTTAGGGGGAGCGGGCACAGGAAATTCAATAAGGATGGTTTCTTGCTTTATTAGACAGTTTGGCCTGTAACTTTACATTCTTATTGGCCTGTAATAGTTAGTAATTTGTTAGTTCTTGTTCATAACATATTAAGTAATTTTTCCCCATCTACTTAAATTTTGATGGACAGCGTGAATCGGTACTAGTACTAGTGGGATATAGTAGATATTCTACGAAATAATCGAGATATACGCAAGCTGATTTGGATACAACTATTATTAATAAAAAGAAGATATATAGTAGCGAGGATGAATTATAACCAAGTTCCATTTGTTTTCTAGATTTTCTTTTTTCTTATCTTAGAGAAGAACAAAACACCATCGCTGTGGCCAAATTTCTCCTCATATTTAATTCAAATCAATCAAGGAGCCACGGCTGCTATTCTTCATAGATCAAAGTAAATAGACAATTGTTCAATCACTATATGAAAAAAGTAAGTTAGTCTGACCCTTGAAGAGAAATTAATCCAATATAAATTTAATTGTTCTTACATAAAACCATAGATCCCTTATTCCTAGTCATGTAAAAATTTTCGAGCTACTATAGTTTCATGTTTTTCCACAGCTTCACACGTGCAATGTCCTCCTAGGCAGAGTGGACTGCCTCTACTAATGGGGACTTTACAGTAAGTCACACAGTCCTGGCTGACTTTACATGGATGGCCCCAAGCAGCATCCACACTTTGCAAACCTGTCAACAAAGTAAAATTTGAGTAACTATAATGTAAATGATTAATACGTGAGTGTGAAAATATTTCTTTGAATATGGTGGTCTATATATATGTCACTAATGTAATTATGAGTTAAAGATGACTATGATTAAGAATAGGGAAAGAATAGTTCTACTCATACTTTTGTTTATGTGAATTAAGACATAAGAAAAACCTTACAACACATGTTGGCAGAATATCTAATTGTAGAAGTTTACTTAAGGGTGAGTTAGGTTAGTCAATCTACGTGACTCAAGCATCATTTCCCAAGAAGGGATAATATTACTTTTAGATTCAACCCCCTTCCTCTCTTTTAATTTATGTTCGTCTTTCTCTACAAAGAATATATACAAAATCCTCTCAATGGGATAAAGGTACACACATAAAGAAATGTGGAAGATCATGAAATAATAAAATGGCTTTGAAGAAAATGTGGTCACTATACTCTTTACATTAATTTTGCAATTTTGTCATAAAAAGATGTAATTTCCAAATGGAATTTCAATATTAAGGTGTGTTATGTGTGTGTATAAATAAATAAATAAATACGAAGTGAGTGTGTATTATATATGAGAGAGAAAGAGCGAGAGAGACCAATTGAGATAAGAATGACAAACACCAATGGAAACAAACTGTATGCAGCCTTCCTCGTAGCCATGTCTTTATAGTGTCTTATGTGATTGGTGATTAAGAAGAAGCCCTATTATGATTTGTAGCTTTTAACTTGAAACCCCTATTGAGCTATATATAGTGTGGACACCGTTGATTTGAGGTAATTGCTATCTCTATGGTTTGGGCAAAAACGGAAGAAAATTGAAAGCTCAATATAGTTAATGGATGTCATCACAATCACTTAAGGCATGTAATTGGATTGTCATAGAACCAATTGCCTAAAGACACTGTAGATGTTTCACTCAATTCCTTCTCTTGTAATCTACAACATATTACTTTCGCAAAAAGGGGGAAACTAGCCTATTAAATATTTATTCCTTTCTACTCTCAAAGTAGATGAGAGTATTAGATATTTTGAATAGATTTACTTGGAAAAAAAGATCCAAACACACAATGTAGTTTTTTTTAGTGCAATTGCTTTAGGAAAGAAGTGATCACGTTCCGAAATAGACAATGACTTTGGTCGAGAGGAGATGATGGTAGACGCCCGCTCTTCCTCTTGCAACTTATGCACGGTTCAATTGTTAATAAAATAGTTTAGTGACTTTCGTAAAGTACAATAATAATTTTGGTACAATAAAATAAAAATTAATTAATCATCCGATAAATTATCCCACTTACACTTAGAAGGTAATGGACAAGTAGTGTGAATGAATTACATTGATTTCTCTTCTTTTTTTTTTTCCCTTCATCACATTTGTTTCTCATTGATTTCCAAGATTTTCTTTCCTTAGGAAACATCATTCTTCTACTTTCTTTCAACTAGTAACTATACCCGCGTGATGCGTGATCAATATTAAAAAATACTAATTAAATTAAATTTTGATCGAGATTGTTTAAACACATTAGATCGTATTGTTTTAATAAATTTCAATTGTCATCTCATTTGTCAGTACAATATACCCGATAACAAAATATCTATTAAATTAAAAAGGATTTTTTTTGTTTTGTATATTTTTATTATACATCCAACGTTTAATATTATTATATTTTAAATATAAATTTGTATTGGCATATCTTTCTCTTACGTTGCCACTTGTCGTAATTCTAGGCTAGACTTTCTTTCTTTTAATAATATATAAAATAAAATATAGATACAGATATATATTTTCTTACTCTTGAAATATTTTTATACTTTTTAACTTATGTTGTACTGTTCAAAATTCTTCAATTGTCTAAATTTATCAATAATTTTCTTGAGTGTTATTTATTTATCTTTTACTTATTAATTAATTCAAAATATAAATATCATAAAGTTATCTTTACCCTCCTCTTTTCGTACATTCTTTTCTATTGTAATATTTGATTTATTTTCTCATTTTATATTTTACTGAAAATATAAATAATGTAATATTTTTTTTACTAAATTATAGGAATAATTTTGAATTCATCAAAAGTATAAAGAGATAAGCCTTTTATTATTTTTATAAAAAATCTATCAATATTTTAATAATTATTAATTTGTGATATATATATATATATATATATATATTATTATTATTATTATTATTATTATTATTATTATTATTATTATTATTATTATTATTATTATTATTATTATTATAAAATCATGAATACAATGTTGGTTTACCAAAATAACCTTAAAATATTAATTATTTTTTATATGTCTAAAGGATAAAATTATAATATTAGTTACTATGTCATACTAATTTCACTTGAACAATGAAGCTGGACGATAATGAATTTGCGTGTACTTCAAATTCAACTAAAACATTGCTCCTTAGCATTTATAATAAGCGATAGAGTTCCAATGCCACTCAAATTCACCTCGAAAATAACACAAGTACTTGTATCAAAATAAGACATTGATAGTGGATTACAAGCAAAGATACATAAAACTAAAATACTCTTCATATTAGAAGTCAAATTAGAGTATTTTTGAACTTAAACTCCCACGGCAAATTCTAAACAAGAGCTGTATTTTTATTTATTTTTGTTAGGAGTTCATCGTTTGTCACGATCCAAAATTCCACCACAGGCGTCGTGATGACACTTAATCTCTAAGACTAGGTAAACCGATTATAATTATATTTCGAGCCATTTTTTTAAGCATATAATTTAATACAAGTGTCGAAACCAAAAGCGAAAACAAATATAACAACCTCCCAAGACTGGTAATACAGAGTCACGAACTCTAACTGAATACATGCAATGATCTCAAGAATCGAGTGTACAATACTGTTTGAATAAGAGTGACAATACAATAAAAATAGAAAGACTCCAAGGGACTGCGATGGTCAAACAGCTCTACCTTGAATCCTTGCGATCAACACACTAACTCTGCCCGAGTACGATATCTCAAATACCTGGCTCTACACAACGATATCTCAAATACCTGGCTCTACACAAAAATATGCAGAAGTGTAGTATGAGTACACCACAGTCAGTACCCGGTAAGTATCAAGACTAACCTCGGTGGAGTAGTGACGAGGTACAGTCAAGACACTCACTAGTCAAATAACCTGTGCAACATAGTATACAAAAATAATAGAAAATAGATAACACTGATAACAACAATAACCAACTAATGATATAACAACAAGGCAGCAAGAACACCATAAATATTACTCACACGAATAATAAAGACAAGTGCAACCAATTAATCAAGTCCTTCAAAATATACATCTTTTATCTATAAGTTTTTCAAATAATTTTTTTTAGAATTTAATCCTTTCAATTTAATATATCCCCAATATACTTCCTCCAAATAAATATCTTACAAATGTAAATCTTTCAAGTAAATACCTCCCAATATATTTCTTTCAAATAAATATCTTTCGAATATAATTCTTTTAAATAAAAACCTTTCGAATATAATTCTTTTAAATAAAACCTTTCGAATATAATTCTTTCAA